TGAAGAAATTCCTCTACAGCTGAGACAATGCCTATGGTACATGCATGATGATGCACCAGCCCATTTTAGCATTAAGGTAGGTAATCACTTAGACACAGTATATCCAAATCGTTGGATAGGTAGGGAAGGTACGGAACATTGGCCTGCTAGATCGCCGGATTTAAATCCTCTTGATTTTTGCATTTGTGGTTTTCTTAAGTCATTAGTTTATTTTAGTCCACTCCCGTTGAAAATGTTGATGACCTGAGGAATCGAATTATAGTCGGCTGTGAGACAATAAGAAATATACCAGGAATATTTGCGCGAATACGATAATCAATGAGGCGAAAAGTTGAATCTTGTGTCACGTCTGAGGGAGGTCATTTTGAACATTTGTTCAAAATGTTGCGCCTTTTCAAAATTTTATTAGTGTTATTTTCTGTTATTGTTCTGGTTTAATGTTATTGTATTAGATAGTTCCTTTAATAGTTACACAACGTACTTTAAACAATTTTTTGAATGGGCTTCCATCTGTTTTCTTCCAATAAAATAAATATTTAAAATTATTATATTCACGGGTGTATTTAATTACTGACCAATAAATGTAAATTTGATTTATACGCTTTTATGGTATTGCTTTTCCAATAGTTTATAACTAAATGGTCAGAATAGCACGATTAATCCTGAAACAATTATCGGATTAAATTTCCAACTTTTACAAAACATTTCCAAGTTTTATACTGGTTGTTCATAGCTTTTCTTTGCTGCTACACCCTCCGTTCATCCCAAACCTGAATTTAAAGCGAGGGAAGGGTCATCCTTGAACCTAAGGAGCACCGTTGCATTATTTAATATCAAGACTTAATGGAATTTTTTACTGTAGTAGTATGCTTCAAACTCGACTATCTAAAGAGCATTTTTAATGAAAGAAATGAACGTTGCTCTATTGTTTCTATCATTTGAAAGGCAGAGATTATAAAACACTGAATCTAGTGTAAATAATAAGTTTAGATGAGACTTTTCATGACTGACTTTAACAGCATCTTAAATAAATGGATAACTAATTTATCATTTCGTTTTTCATTGTTAAATGACACTTCTGCTGTTGAGACTTATGATTCGTTTCAAGTAAAACCGAGTGCAAAACTAAAATTCTAATAATACCTAAGTTAGTATAGTTCTCCGGGTTTGAGAACATAAAGGTGGGAACCTATACAGTGTGTTTCACCTAAGAGGGATTGTTCTGTAACTCTGTAGGTAACTGTAAAATTTATAAAAAAAATGCTCTTACATAGCTACTTTCTCGGACTTTAGAAAAGAACCTGATTTTTCTAGAAAAATGTTGGAGAAAAGTATGGACAACCTTATATCAGTCGAAAGGGCATTCAATTTTGCACTCATCCATGATAATTGATATGGATCATTCCATTTGAGAAAAAAAATTAACTCATAAGATTATTAAAATAAATGTAGGTCTCAGTATTTCCGAGTCTGAATATCGTACACATTTTGCTCACAAATGACAAGATAGAGTAATTTATGCCAAAACGAAGTGTGAAAACTGCAGGTTTCTCACTCTTACGACTTAGATGCTATCTAAACCGTAAGGCTAGCTAGTACCCATGAGGTGGCAATTTTCAACTATCCTCCACTAAAGCTTAACATTTTTGGAACATTTCAAGCACAATTTCATTCTGCTGCCTTTCTAGAAACTGTGGTTACGAAATTTTGGAACAAAAAACTGACTTATTTGACTTTCAGTCATTTTGATTACATGTTCGAATAAAATTGTTTCCTCCATCGAAATTGCTTTGAATCGATATCGGTATGTGCTAATCGCTCGTAAGCAAAATTAAATATTAATAAATTTTTCATTTCATCCGAATAAAACATTATGGGCAGTAGTAGTCCGTCCACATCAAAATATATTATTCATTTCGTTTCAATATTACAAAGAAAATAATTCAAAGTAAAGCAATTGTTAAATTTTTTGCAGGCTACATATTTCTGTATTTAAAAAAGGAGAAATATAAGATATTGAAGAATGATATTTTTCAATCTGGAGTGCAACATCTTTTAAACTTGTGAAACATAAATGCTGCGGGATTCAAACAATTTTTGGAAATAACACTTACTGATTTCGAAACATTAACAGAAAATATCGGTCTATTTATACCCATACAAAATTTTCAATTACAATACTCTGAATTTGTCCGTGTTTGTGAACAAATATGACCACTTTAATTGTTTGCAGGCAAATGTTTTGGTGTAAAACTTTCATTTTGCTACGTGGATGAAAAACAAAGCGCATATGCGTTTGTATAAATGATTACACAAATAAAAGGCTCAGGAATATAATCCTATAGCATCTGTTATGCAAACACTTTATCCTTTATACAGTGGATAAAAAATAATTATTGTATTAAGGTAAATCCAAAAAACAACCTACAATGTCAAGGTAGATACTAGAGAAAATTGTAACTGTAAGAAAAACTGCTTCGAATGAGATGAAACCGCAAAAGAATTCACAAGAGTTTATTGAATGAATTCCCATAATGAACAAATACTTATTTCTGTTTCTTACTTATGTTAAGAGTTGTGCCTGTTTAGAAAAGACTGCCATAAAATCCAGAAAATTATTTATTTCTCTACTCGAGATAAGTAGATAATAGGAGTAACGAAAGTTATTTTTAACTAAATCTTTGAAAACTACTGGCAGAAAGAATGGTTAAACGAACATTTTGAGATTTGTTGAATAGTCCTTTAATTAAGTGACCGCCAAAATCCCCGGACTTGACGCCTTGGATTTTTTCTTTTGAGTTTGTTGAAACAAAAAGTTTATAAATCAAGGCCACAAACTGCACAGGAACTACGTGCTAGGATAATGCAAGCCTGTGCAAAAATTACCCCAAACAAAATACAAAAAGTAATTTTGAATTTACGTAAAAATTGATAAGTGCATAGAAGTAAATGGTGGATTGATAGAGGTGACAAGAATATAATTATTTAACTTTTGTTGGATTCAGTTTTATTATTTTATTTTTAAATCTGTTAAAACGAAGATTATTAACAATAAATTATAAAAAAAAACAAATGAACAACTACAGAAATAAATTGTAGAGTGGTAAAGGTGCAGAGACGAATCGTATTTTATCAAATATTATTAAAAAGTTCAGTCATAAGTGGTTTATGTCATTTGTTTAAAATAAAACATGTATGAGAGATGACACATATTAATTTTCCAATAATTACAGTTTTATCAGCTTTCGTCTTTTAATTTAACTATACTAGTTAAAAAAATTACTATTGTACAATTTTTTTCTGTAGTTGATCATTTGTTTTTTTATAATTTATTCTTTGTTACTTAATATGTGATGTGAATAAAGCCCTTATAACAATATTTTAAACAAATATTTTGTCTCAGTGCGATTTAAATCAAATAATAGATTTTCCTGTTACGTCGTACATTGCATATTGAAGTCGATATGTCTCGAAAACAAGTAAATATTGGGAAAAATTTTATATTACAAAAATTACTCAAAATTTAACGGTTTTTCAAATGGATTGCATTTCCACGTTCCAGGAATCATAAATTTTTTAGCATCGCCACGCCATCTATACAGAAACATTTCTAGCAATTCTAACTTCATTTATTTGAAGTTATTCGAGGGACCTAACAACCCCAGTTTCCGGAACTAAAATAATTTTTTTCATTTCGGAGATATTGGCAGCTGGAGTGTTAAATGCCACACCCTGTATATACTGAGACATAATACTTAGGGTATGTTTTCTTCGGGCAGGAGAAAAATGTGGAGCTTGCGCTTATACTCTAAAACTATGAATAAAATAGAACACTGTCAAATTTTTGCCGGAATCGATTCACACAAAATGCATGTCGCATTTCGGTTGGTTTTACTTTGCTAAATATTTGCCCAATATGCTTTAGTTGATTGGTTGCCCTATTAACTGTGTGAAAAAGCGCAAATTTCGACTACTAATTAAGCTCTACTTGCGATGATCCCATATACTTTTCTTAAGGAACGAATTATTTTCCGTATAAAACAGCACATAGAAGAAAAGTTCGAAGGTTCCCCTTTCAAACAAACTTTGTTTCATTCATTTTCATCAAGAAACGAAAGAACAGTCGCACATTTAGTGCAGCACTGCTTCGAAATACGGCTGATTTGCAATAATCGTCATTTTATGTAGATCCTAAATAACGCAGTGTATTAAAAAATCATCAGGAACCTTTTTTGTAGAGAGTTTTATGCTCGCTCTACAACTGGTACTTTGCATGTTTGTGAAATTGTCAATACTTTTCAAGTTATTCACGAAATACGTTTTTTTTTTTTGCTGTTTTCCGGTATTTTCCCGAATTTTCCTGGTTTGCTCCCGTGCAGAACTATTTTTTTCCTCATCTTCCAGCAAAATATTAATCACGTGTACAAAAAATTGAGCACTTCGGAATTACTGCCATCTCAAAACCTCTAGCAACTGGACTAATTAGCAAGCAAAGTGTCTAGAAGTACTTATTTATGTACAGGATTGCAATAAAAGTTCTTTTTTGCGCAATTTTTACAATTTTCCATATTTTTCTCATTTTTCTCCACACAGCCCGACTACAAGCTTAAGGGCAAAAGGATGCAGATCTGGCCTAGACTTTAGTCCACCCTGTACCTATCGAGTCCGCTTTAGAACGATGATAATCTGCAGTGCCCACGTGACGTCACACCTCCGCGTTCCGTCAAAAGTTAGCGACTCCAAACAAAGAGGCCCTAAGAGGAACATTACCGTAAACACCACGACCCGAGGGAGTCTCCCACTGCAAGAGTATACCACCGACTCGTCTCGGTCGTATCTTTAATGAGGATAATATATATTTTGCCCTTCGAATAAAATTGTTTCCCCTGCTTCGAATCGATATCCCTGCTGCCGGCGCGCCAGTTTCTAGACGTACGCCGCCGGATTCGCTTGTTTTCCCCCCCGACTCCTAACCTCAAATCGCGTACTCTGCCCGACGAGGTGTGATTTCCGGGGTCGAAATGCCCCGACTTTCCAGTGCGGATTCTAATTTTTGACGGGGCCGTTGATGTCTCGCGCCGGCAGGAATTCCTGGACTGACATTTTGACATGTGCTCCTGCGGGGATGTGTTAGTGTTTTTCAGTGGCGGCTGAAACGGGACAGGGGATTATTATCTCTTCGTAAACATGATTCCGTCTAAGTACTGTGATTCGTCTTCTTCGAGTAAGCCACTTGCTTCTTTCATAAATCGCCAAATACGCATTTTCGTTGACTCGAATAACTTGTAAATTAATGATTTGAAATAACAGAAATAAGTTGTTAATCATACCTTTGTTTAGTTACCTTTGTTTTATTTATCAATTACAATTAGTTCCACGTTTTTTTTTTAGTAATTCAAAACATACAATTATTGTAAATTACATCGAATGTCCCCTAAATGAGGTACGTAACTTTATAATTAGAAAATAAAATTAATTATGTTTAATGTTGCAACTAAGTTTATTTTTTACGAATAATACGAAGACATTTAAATCAATTTTTGCACATCTTCCATCAGTCATAGAAATCAATGAAGCGAAAATTATTATGCACAAGTATTAGATACAATTTAAATGCATTGTTTCTATTGAAAATTAAAAGAAAAGTAGTATCACACAATTTTGTTTATATTATTTTATAAATTCTCTTAGTACAAAAATACGTATAGATACGGAGTGTCTCACATAAAAACATTGCAAGCTATAACTCACATTAAAAAAATTGAATTAATTCTAAATAAACTCTGAAAATACCAAAAACTAACACTTATACAAGGTGTTGTTACGTTTAAATTTTAGGAGTATAAACTAAACTTAATTGTAAGACTAAAAAATACAAAAGTGGTAAGGTCTAGGTTTGAAATGTCCGCATATTAAATCTCTACCCTCAAGAGTTATTGAAGTGGGTGATATACAGGATGTTTCGAGAATAGTTGAGGAAAATGAATCAGTGGATTCTTAAGCCCATTTAGAGGAGGTGTTTTATGCAATTTTTTTTATTCCACCCTCATCTAAAAAGTTACAGATCTTTAAAAGTTGGTGTTGAAATCAAGCTTCCATAGATTTTTTCAAAGCCAAAACTAAAGGATATTTGTATAGAGATAAAAAAATTTTAACAGGGCTCTCCGAAACATTTTTTTTTAGTATACAGGCTGTTACAAATTCGCTTCTCACTACAGGGATCTCGAAAACGGTAAGAGATACAAACTAGCTTAAATCAAGGCTAACATGATTAGTTTTCGAAATATTTGAAAAAAAAAACGAAATTTTGGAAATTCGTTTTTGTTTCATTTCAGCCTTATTTGAGGTGATATTGAAAAAAGAAGAACACTTTCTCATGGCCACTTTTTGCCCTCTATCGAATGGCATAATTAGTTTTTATATATGAAGTTTCGTCTCTTCAAGACCATCATCTACTTAATTTTTTTTAAATACAACCCTAGAAATTTTATTACATTTTTTGCAAACCTTCATGACCCCCAATACTGTACTGTCTCAGCCTGAATCAGATTCAGACGTTTTGTCTCGAAAAATTCATCTTCGTTCCAAATTTATCTAAATTTTTTATTTAGATTTCTTTGTTTATTGAATCGTACACTGTAAGTGTCGTTAGACCCTGTGAAATCCATCTAGTTATTTAAACTATTACAACCACGCATTAAAATAAAAAATTATTGGTGTTTTATTCCCGTGACCATTTCCAGGCTTCTCAAACAAATTCCGATCTATTTTTTTTTCAGGATATTCATACAAATACATCTGACATGCTCTTTCACAGTTGCGGTTACAGATATAATAAATTCCGATAATAGGTATTACGCTAATCTTCGTTTTCAACCTTTGCCAAAACGAAAATGTTTTTGAGCATTTACTGAAATTTTTTAAAGAATATTCAGTTGGGGTTTTGGTTGTTCATATGCATTTTAAGAATTAATTTGTCATAATAAAATTAAAATTGTAAAAAAGTTTTAATTTTGATGCAACAACTTAATTGAGTTAAGGGGCCATCCATAAATTATGTCACAAGAATTTTAGGACTTTTGAACCTCTCCCCCCGTCCTTTTCACAGGTTGTCACATTTTTATAATCCCCCCCTCCTGATGTGACGTCACACATTTTTTAACTTTAGGCATGTATTTAAAAATAACCGAGAGAAAACAGCTATTTTCATTTTTTAATGTTGTATGAGAGATAATCTCATAGCGAGAATGCTAAATTATTAATAAATATAGATCAAGTTCGTAGATTTTTACAGTTTTTTATTCACATCTAAATTTCGCGTTTTAATATTTTAAATTTTAACATGTGACGTCACAAAACTTTTGACCCCCCCCTGCCCCTTGTCACACATTGTTACATTTCGGTAATACCCTCCCTCCCCATTTACGTGTGACGTAATTTATGGATGACCCTTAAGTATGACTAAGTGATGGTAGTAGTTAATAATAATAAATGTTTTATTGTAACGCGTTTTGGTAATAGTTTAAATAACAACAAACAAAGAAATCTAAATAAAAAATTTAGATAAATTTGGAACGAATACACTGAAGATGAATTTTTCGAGACAAAACGTCTGAATCTGGTTCGGGCTGAGACAGTACAGTATTGGGGATTATGAAGGATTGCAAAAAATGTAATAAAATTTCTAGGGTCGTATTTAAAAAAATGAAGTTGATGATAGTCCTAGAGAGACGAAACGTTACATATAAAAATTGATTATGATTTTCGATAGAGGGCAAGAAGTGGCCATGAGAAAGCGTTCTTCTTTTTTCAATATCACCTCAAACAAGGCTGAAATGAAACAAAAACGGATTTCCAAAATTTCGGTTTTGTTTTCAAATATGAAAACTAATCACGTTAGCCTTAATTTTTTAGAGGTGTAATGTTGGTCTTCTGATTACGCAACTTTGCCCCCATTTAAGCTACTTCGTACCTCTTACCGTTTCCGAGATCCCTGTAGTGAGAAGCGAATTTGTAACAGCCTCTATATGAACTCTGATAATAAATGTACAAGGATTGTAGTATTTCATTTCATTTTTTTCTGCAACGTTTGACTTAGTGACAGGTGATAACCAACATTTTCTTAATAGAATAAAATATTTTTTTTACTTAGTCTGATAGAAGTTTTTTTTTATATAACTTGCGGAAATGTTTCGGAAATAATACGCAAAATACTCCTACAAAATTATCGCATATGCCGTGAAAACCATCAAATAGTTACAAAGGTAAATATCGTTTGAGTAAGAAACACGTTATTATCACATCAAGTAACATTAAGTGACTTACCAACAATTATTTCTGTTTTTAAATTTGTTTTAAACATGATATTTACTATAATATCAGCAAATAGCACGATATATTGGATAAATATGACTTTTTGTTGACTTGCAAATCTTATTGGCGGACAAAATTAATTTTAATGAGAATTATGTGCAAATTTCTCATAATTTTTAGGCGAAAATCATATATTATTAGATTAAAAAAAAAACTCTCTTAGATTATGTAAAAAAATATGTAGTTCTATTTGAAATAGAGTTCAAGTAAATTATTTTTGTACAAAGGAATGTATATATTTTATAGACAAATAAATACTGAAATAATAAATTTTAATTGAAACTGGCTTATAAAAAAGATTAATGATACGAGTTTTAATGTTTAAATAACGGATATGATTAAACAAATTTAAGAGATTTGGAGATTATCTATCTTAACTAACACAAATGTTGTCTTGCTTCACCAAAGATTAAAACGATATCCATCAACTCCGAGTTGTTATACACGCAAATCATTTTTGACACTAACTACTAAAAAACTATTATAAGCACTATCACAACGACGATTGTAGAATCGGATTTCAGTATTCGGAATCACTGAGGTCACATGGCTCTCCACGCGTATTGCGAATAACGCTAGAAACTACAGCTTACCAGCTATGTAATTGTTGAAAGTACTACAACCCCAATAATTTTTTTCTCGGAAACTATAAGGAATTTTACAATTTTTTTTAATGTATTGACTCTCTTTCTCATGCCGCAACTATTCCCAAATTTTTTTTGGATAAGTTTTGAATTAACCTGTAGGTATATCTAATTTAAAAAGAAATTTTTACTTCTACTTCGAGACCTAAAATTTCTATTTATTTTCTATAAAGTTAAATTTACCTTTTGCACTCTGCAAAGTATGAGTTTGAATATATCAAAAGGGTAATGTACTTTTAATTCCTCTAAGAAAAACAAATGAAGAATTATTAATGAAATACAAGTTCATTTTTAATTTCGGACATAAATTTAATTCAAAATATATTTTTTAACTCATCTAATGTCCCTATTTTTATGAAACGTGCGATAATAACCATCGCTCAAAACGAGACCGATATTATAGCCTCACTTTAGTTTATACTTCGTTACCCCTTTAGAAACCAAGATGTTAAGTCAATATTTTATAAACGTCAATAGCGGACAATGGCATTTTTTTAATTAAACCGCTTACAGATCAATATACGGCACAAAGAAATAATGCAAAAGGTGTGTGGATGTATTATAAACTTATGGAACAGTAAACGTTTTCAAACGAAATACTGTTCGAGTTTGTGGAGATAACTCGGCTTTTGAAGTGGCTATTTGCCTTGAAAATGCACACGGAAAACGTAACTTTTTATGGCGTAAACTACCCTTTTATTTTCCTTAAAAAGTGGAAAGGTATGTTTCGTGAAGAAAAAAGCAGTCCATTGTTCAATAAACCACGGCAAAGACCGCTGTGTGTGTCATTGTTGTAATTGTTAAATTGTCTTTAGCAGAGGATTTCTAGGAACATAATTCGTTTGAACAATCATACGCATAAATACATACAATGCTCGTAGTAAACATGATAAAGAAATTATTGTCACTTCTCTAAAACAAGATAAAATAGGTACATAGTTTCACTGAAATAACCCTAGAAAATTTTTCTTTGATAGAGAAAAAAAGTCATAACATTAAAGTTAATATCCACTTACTATTTATAATAATAAATTATTTCTAGCATATGTTTACCAGAAGACCTTCATCTTTTATGTCATGTATGTCATGTATTTTATGTCATTTGTCCGTATATCGCCTAGCAAATATAAACGTTTAAGAAATTATCTTTTTACAGTTGATTTAAATCAATAGTGACTACATTATTTTAGTCAGTAGTGAAATAAAA